AGGAGGCGCGGGGGCTCTTTCGCCAGGTGCTGGAGGCCGTGCAGCACTGCAGCAGCTGCGGGGTCCTGCACAGGGACATAAAACCGGAGAACATCCTGCTCGACCTGGCCACTGGGCAGCTGAAATTGATCGACTTTGGCTGTGGCGCCTTCCTGCAAGACACAGCCTACACCCAGTTTGCAGGTGAGCCCTCGCAGGGGATGCTCCTGGCCATCTCATGGCCCAGCCTGGCTGTGGCACCGGGGATTCCCCGTGGTGCTGCCAGGATGGGATCAATGCTTGAGGCAAATTGATTTGGATGGGGGTGTGAGGGGGACCAGCTCCCAGCCCTGCCAAGAGCCTTCAGCACCCACTGTGCCCTGGGCTGGGGCTGGGACAGCCAGCCTGACAAAAACCCCCATGGGGGTAGCAGAGGGCGGGGGTCTGACCCCATGCCCCAGAGAGTTTAGTGAGTCAGCGAGGAAGGGCTTGAACTCCTCTGCTCCCCACGTTTGCCTTGGCCTATTAACAATGTTTTGGAGGCCATGCAGGCAGGGAGGAGAGTGTGTTTTCTCTACCACGGGGTGTGTTTTTATTTGGTTGTCATGGTTGGGCCTCCCCAGTGCTTCTGCTGCCCTCTTCCAGCAGCAGTGGCTTCTTTTCCAACCCTGGGTTTGTAGCCAAGTGCCAGGTGCTGGCAAGAGGGCAGTGGGTCACCCCGTGTGCCACTGGGGCAGCCCCCACATGCCCAGGGATGCTGGGGCCAGGCTCTGGGAGCAGCAGCATCCCCCTGATGAGCTCCATCTGTGTTCCACAGGAACCCTGTCCTACAGCCCACCAGAGTGGATCCACCAGCAACGCTACCATGGCCAGGCAGCAACAATCTGGTCCCTGGGCCTCCTGCTCTACCAGCTGGTCATAGGGAAGCACCCATTCATGAGGGGCCAGCAGATCATCTGGGGGCGGATCTTGTTCCCACGACGGCTCTCCCAAGGTGAATCCTCATCTCTGGGCACAGGGGGAACACCAGGCTTGGGAGACAGCTGTGGGCTCATGAGCATCCTGCTCTGGCAGCTGCTGAGGAGGTGGCACATGTCCTGCTCTCCTGCAAGACAGGGAATCCATGGGGAAGTTGAGGCCCAGCTCTGGGCACACCCAGCACGGCCTGGGCACTGGAAGGGGGCGGCAACTTCTCCAACTGACTGGTGATTCCTGGTTTCTCTCTTCAGAATGCCAAGATATTATTAAGAGGTGTTTGTCCATGCAACCCTCGGACAGGCCATCCTTAGAAGACCTTTTGCGCGATCCTTGGATGCAGGCTGTTCATCTGCCCTAGGAGATGGGAGAGATCCACATGCACAGTTGGATCCAGGGGCCTGGCAGGTAACAGCTCCACACATTTCTTGGCAATCGGTGGCAAAGCAAACCAGGCTGTTTTTGTCGTGCCTGTAGCTCTGAGCAGGGGTCATCAGAAGGGAACACACAGCTCTTGGGCTGGAGCTGAGCTGGACACCTGGTGTGGCAAGCACTGGTGGCCACCATTCCCCCTGCTTTTGCTTGTCTGCTTCACTGATGGCTGGGACCCTGGGCAGAGCACTGACAGCCTGGTCTGGCCCCTAGGCAAGGAGAAGGAGCCCCTGGAGAAGCTGTTACCAGCTGGGGCTGCTGCTGGAGACACCAAGGGCAACCTCAAGGATGGCAATCTCTTCCTCCAGCTGGCCAGCTGAAGATGATGGATTTCAATTCTGGCATGTCTTCTTCAAAGACTCGCTCCACGCCCAATTTGCAGGTGAGTCCACAGCCAGGGGATGCTCCCAGATCTGGGCATGGCACAGCCTGGCCAGGCACCAAAGGTTCCCCCCTTGGCTGGGGTGGATGCAAGCAATTCTTCAGTTGGCTGCCAAGCTGCTTTTTGTCTCTGGACAGCTGCTGAGGGGCTGGGTCTGCCGTGGCTGGCTGCAGGCTGGGCACATGGCCTGCCCTCCTGCTCTGCTCCCAAAGGCAGCAGTGATGGGCAGCTTTGGGCCCAGCTCTGAGCACGGCCAGCATGGCCTGGGCACCGCGGGTGGCTGGGACAAGGGGACAGGAGCCTTCAGCTGACGGGCGGTTTCTGGTTTCTCTCCTTGCAGCCGGGCTCTGCGGATGCTGAGGCTGCTCTGGGCTCTGCCAGGGCTCTGCTGGGCTCAGCCCCAGGCACAGCTGGGCTCACCCTGCCCTCCCATTGCTCTGACAGCTTTGCATCACACGAGCCCGTTCCCAGCACACCGCCTGAGCTTTCTGCTTTTGCAGGTGAGTGAGACTCTCCTGCAGGCCAAGAGATTGCAGTTAGGGACACACATATAATTGGCAAGGACCCAAACTCTCCACAGTCCCAGCTGAATGCCTGCATCTGCACAGGATGTTTTCTGTGTCCCACTCTTCCTTTCTTTTTGGCTGCAATTGTGCAATTGCACTTTCTTCCTCCTCTAGAAGTGCCACTGCTGTGTTCCTGAGGCAGTGCAGTCTGGAGCTGATGGATGAAGAATCGCCCCTCTGCACTTCCAAACCAGAGCAAAAAGCTGTAAGTGGGACTTTGCATCTTTAAGAAACCCCTGAATGTTTGAAAGGGAATGTGCAGCTCATTCACAGGGTGAGAAGGAAGGGCACCTTCTAAAGGATTTGGGGTTTGACAGAGTTTAGATTCCCAGTGCTGCTTGGAGCTGGCAAGGCGCAAAGCACTTTCTTCTTGCTTCACTCCAATTTCACCACAATTTAAAATAACAATATTGGAATCAAACCCCACAAACTTTTTCAAAAAGGTTCCTGAGGCCGGTAAGATGCATCATGCCATCAGCACATTTACAAAGTAAATAACTGAGTTTTATGTTTCAAAAGACCAATTACACCTTAATTCAAAGTTAGAGAAGATTTTTCACTGTACGCTTGGGTTCTGTTTTTATCTTTCACATTTTATAGAAGTTTTTTTTCTTTTATTTTTCCGCATTTTTCCCCTTAAAACAGAAATCATGCTATGAAAAAGAAGTGTCCTTTGCTCCTGGTTCCTGTGTGGAGCAGCTCCCTTCCCGCTGGCTGAGCTGCTCAGGCAGAGCCCGGCAGCTCCTGGCCCTGCAGGGCTGAGGCTTTTCCCCGTTGCTGGGCACAGACTGATGGAGCAGCACTGCTGAACACGGGCACACGCAGAGGGAGCAGAGCAGCTGCCTTTGCCCACCTGAAGCTCCAAGGCCAAACTCTGAGCAGGCACGGCTGGAAGAGACTCGCAGGCTCCCTGTTGGCTCTGCTGCCCCACTTGTGCCTGGCCCAGCTCTGCGTGAGGCACAGGGAGAACAAGGGGCAGCTCCCTCCCAGCCCCAGCCCAGGGACCCCTCCAGCCCTGGGCCTTGGGGCACTGTCAGCACCCGCTGCTCCAGCCACGGCTTGTGCTGGCACTGACAGCAACAACCAAAGTGGGGCTGGTCCTGAGGGAGCAGCAGCAGTGCCTGGATCTGATCCCTCAGTGTGGGGCAGTGCTGGAAATATGATCGCAGCAGCAGCACCACCACCAGCAGCAGCACCAGCAGCACCAGCAGCACCAGCAGCCACCACCACCAGCACCAGCTTCACCAGCAGCGCCAGCAGCAGCACCACCAGCAGCACGATCAGCAGCAGCACGAGCAGCAGCACCAGGGGCAGGATCAGCACCAGCAGCAGCACCAGCAGCACCAGCAGTACCAGCAGTACCAGCAGAACCAGCTCCAGCAGAACCCGCTCCAGCAGCTCCAGCAGCAGCAGCAGCACCAGGGGCAGGATCAGCAGCAGCAGCAGCAGCAGCACCAGCAGAACCAGCTCCAGAAGCACCAACAGCAGCAGCAGCACCAAAAGCAGCACCAGCAGCAGCACGACCAGCAGCCGAAGCAGCAGCAGCAGGACCAGCAGCACCAGCAGCACCAGCACCAGCACCAACAGCACCAGCAGTGCCAGCAGTACCAGCACCAGCAGCACTAGCAGCAGCACCAGCAGCAGCAGCACCAGCAGCACCAGCAGTACCAGCAGAACCAGCAGCGGTAGCAGCACCAGGGACAGGACCAGCACTAGCTTCACCAGCAGTGCCAGCAGCAGCACCACCACCAGCACGAGCAGCACCAGCAGCAGCAGCAGCAGCAGCACCACCACCACCAGTGCCAGCAGCACCAGAAGCACCACCACCAGCAGCACCACCAGCACCAGCAGTAGTACCAGGGGCAAGATCAGCACCAGCAGCACCAGCACCACCAGCAGCACCACCAGCAGCACCACCAGCAGCAGCAACAGCAGCAGTACCAGTAGTGCCAGCAGCACCAGCGGCAGTGCCAGCAGCAGCACCAGCAGCACCTGCACCAGTACCAGCAGCAGCAGCAGCACCACCAGCACCAGCAGCAGCAGCAGCAGCATCACCTGCAGCACCAGGACCAGCAGCACCAGCAGTACCAGCAGAACCAGCAGCAGCACTACCACCAGTGCCAGCAGCAGCACCACCAGCACCAGCAGTAGCACCAGGGGCAGGATCAGCATCAGCAGCACCAGCAGCAGCACCAGCCATAGCATCAGCAGCAGCACCAGGGGCTGGACCAGCACCAGCAGCACCAGAAGAAGCAGCATCAGCAGCAGCATCAGTGGCAGCAGCAGCACCAGCAGCACCTGCAGCAGCACCACCAACAGCACCACCACCACCAAGAGCAGCACCAGCAGCACCAGCACCAGCAGCACCAGCAGCAGCACCAGGGGCTGGACCAGCACCAGCAGCACCAGCAGCAGCACCAGCAGAAGCACCAGCAGCACCAGCATCACCAGCACAGAAGCAGCAACAGCAGCAACAGAACCGCCAGCGCCAGCAGTAGCACCAGGGGCAGGATCAGCACCAGCAGCACCAGCAGCAGCACCAGCAGAAGCACCAGCAGCACCAGCATCACCAGCACAGAAGCAGCAGCAGCAGCAGCAGCAGCATTTGCAGCACCAGCATCACCACCAGCAGCATCAGTGGCAGCACCAGCACCAGCAGCACCAGCAGAACCAGCAGCAGCACTGCCACCAGTGCGAGCAGCAGCAGCACCAGCACCAGCACCTGCACCAGTACCAGCAGCAGCATCACCAGCACCAGCAGCACCAGCAGTATCACCAGGGGCAGGATCAGCAGCAGCAGCACCAGCAGCACCAGCAGAACCAGCAGCAGCACTGCCACCAGTGCGAGCAGCAGCAGCACCAGCACCGCCAGCGCCAGCAGTAGCACCAGGGGCAGGATCAGCACCAGCAGCACCAGCAGCAGCACCAGCCATAGCATCAGCAGCACCAGGGGCTGGACAAGCACCAGCAGCAGCAGCACCAGAAGAAGCAGCACCACCAGCACCACCAGCACCACCAGCAGCATCAGTGGCAGCACCAGCAGTACCAGCACCAGCAGAAGCAGCAGCAGCACCAGCAGAAGCAGCAGCAGCACCACCACCACCAACAGCAGCACCAGCAGAAGCACCAGCAGCAGCAGTGGCAGCACCAGCAGTACCAGCAGCAGCAGAGGCAGCAGCACCAGTAGCACCATCGATGCTGCTA